TATAGATACCTATAACTACTTCCAGCTTGGAGCGTCGGTGATTATGCGCTACCACAGTCCACAAGATTCACCAGAAGAATCAATATATTATTATGTAACTATAGCATATATTGCGTTTGAAACGTATGTAGTGCCGTTAAAAAATATAAAATTATATCACTCATGCCCGTTTATAAATAATATATGACTTGTATTATTATAGGTAGGTAGGCAAATATATAAACAGTAGTATACATTACCTAATATGGGCGTCCTAATGCCCCTTAAAATATAAAGATATATATTAGCTTTATTTATTTTTCCATATTAAAMAACGAATTACGTTAAATTAATACTTATACATATTGAAATAAAATAAACACAATTAATATAATAAGTAATAGTTATAAATCCTTGTATTAACAATAATAAAAATAAAAATAAGTCTAACCTTCCTTATGTTTTCTCAGTAGTCAATTTCTAGTAGAATATAAAACTAATATACATCTATGAATAAAATATTTGAAAAGAACAAACACACTACAATAAGTAGGCAGATACTCGTAAATAATAAAAATACTACTACTAACTGTAGGTATAGGTGTTTAAGTATTTCTATATTTTTTGCTCCGTATGAAGCCTGTTAATCAAGTATATATTAGGTACTTGGAAATAATATTACGACTATTAATTACTACTATTTAATATCCTCAAAAATCTAGTCTCATTTTTACTAATTTAAATTGTTTTAAAGAAGATTGTTGACTTATAATGAGTTATTAATAAAAAAATTATATTAAGTTATCACATAAACTTATATAATATTTAAAATAACATAGTACCTATTATGAATAATAATAATAATAATAAAAAAAAAACTATACTTGAAAATGTTGTATTATTAAATGTACAAGTATTCTTACTTATATAATAAATTGTGTTAAAGTGTCTATATGTAATTTTCCTCTGGCGAGTTTGAATCACTATCCTCGTTAGCTGATGACTCAATTAGCAATAATAAAATATTTTTAAAATTTTTTTTAGAACAGCACTAAAGCAACGATTCCACAATCCCACTTCCTTCCTATTTTGTATATTCCTTTAAAAATTAATCAAATTTTGAAATTTAAAAAAATCTTTATGATAACTTTATGATAATGGGTATAATATAAAGTGTTATTGTCTATTGGAATTTCTTTCTTGAATATGATGTTTGTGACCTGTGGGTACTAATGTTACCTTAATTGTTTTTTTCTTATTCTTGATATAAATTATAATTATAAGTATTACAATTTTCCAACAAAATAAACGTATTAAAACGCCTTTTAAAATAAGAAACAATATAAAATATCACAACCATTGACCAAACCTCAGTGTTCGATTTATTGATAAATTATTACCACCATCCAAAGTATGACAKATTGACATTTACAAAATAAAATAATGCCAAATACCTCGATTAAGTGTTAATAATAATCAATTTCGATTTTCGTAAAGATAGGTATACATTATTTAGGCATCATTGTAATAAAAGAGTACCTATATATAAATTACCGTCTACAGGCAAGGTATGTACAAGAATAATTAATTATATAGGTAAATTATAAATATGAACTATCTATATTTTTAATGATTATAAATATCAACGATTTAAAGAATAATTTTATATATGTTATTTTGTATTTATAACTTTCGTCTTATAACATTATGATAATTTAATCAATGAGTTGACACAGAATAAACATTTGTTACAAAATTCATTTTTATTTTAGCACAATAATAGTAATTATTATTATTTTATTATAATCAACATACTTATTATTTGTTTCCTAATAATTGTTCATTTTAGGCACACCTAAATATAGTTTATTCAAAGCAATACAACGCTGTACAATATTATTTAAACATATTATTATTTCGACAAAACAAATTACAATATAATATAGGTAGTATAAATAACTATATTTTTAAAATAATAATAATGTTACACAATATTTCGGAATGAATAATTAAGATTAAAATGCATTAAAAATAATGAAATTCAACGGTAAATAAAATTGAAAATATCTTATTTATTACATTATTACTGTAGTACCTATACAGTATACATGTCTATGTACGATTCATATTTTGGGCTACTAATTGATTTTATTTCTTTATAATAACTTAATTGATACATTTAAGATAGTTTAATTCTTTAATTTTCTATAACTCATATAGGTATGGCAGTAGGATGAAACAATAATAGTATTCAGACATTTAGAGGCGTAGCCAAGAGCCAAGAGGATGACTGAGAGGGCTGCAGCCCCACTCCCAGAAAATGTTGAAAACATTAAAAATCATTTCAATAGTCTACGAAATTCGCTAAAAAAGTCTTAAATTGTACTTTTAAAATATAAAAAGAAAATTCATTGCTATTTTTATTTTGTTTTCTACATGTTAAACTTATGGAAGAAACTAGGTTAACCTCCAGTGTAAACCCGTTTCTATGAAGAAAAATCCTGGCTACTCCACTGATGTTATTATACTATTATGTACATAATATATAATAATATATTTGCCAAACGAAATCAACATAATATTATATTAGCAAAGGTATGATTATGATAATTATTTAGGTAGGTATATATAATATAATATATAAGATACAAATAATATTAAATAGTAATAGCAATAATAACAATAAGAAGGTTTAAAACGAATTGGTTAGATACATTGATAAAACTATATATATTATAATTATACAATATCATGTATTATTAGCTATTACAGACTTGTAAGTATTTCATTATTCTAACTGACGAAGGTAAAATTAACTAATCTCGCATAATAGGTAATCAAATAATCGTCTAAAATCTATTTATCAGTCATTATTTTGTTTATATAAGGTATAACATATTAATAATAAACTAAATTAAATTTGTTACGATAATGTATTTGTTTTGTGAATCGGTTTACTATAGAGAAAATATTAATAACAATAATATTATATTATAGCAAGCCTAATTGTAATTTTGAAAATTGTTAATGTTTAACATTAGTAGGTAGGTAGAAATAAATATTAACTGCTGGATAAATGAACATTTTTGAATGTAAATTAAAAATATTTGTATTGCCAAGTAACAATTAATAACTTATTGGTCCGGGTATATATAGGTACTAGGCAGGTACTTATATACACGGAAATTTCAAAATTCTTAGCCACCTCAAATTTCGATCTTATAAGGACGTGTCCATTACTACAACGAGGGGTCCTTTAAACTCGCTTAAGTGAAACGTTGAATACAGCTGTCAGCTTGAGAACGGTTAATTAGGAATTTTTGAATAAAATTAAATGCAATTTCATCACACCATAGAAATTAAATTTAAGTAACGACATAGGTAGTTGTAATGATAAGACAACTGATAATTATAGAATTTAATGGTTAATTAAAATAATACTAAAAAAAACAACAAAAGACTTAATAATAATATGTAACTCTCAAAATGTTATGTAGGCATCAAAAACTGTAACAAATTATGACTTTTCAGTCACGCGTTAGCCGGGCGATATAACTGCTAAGGAGAATGCATAGTAATTTATTATTCGATAAATAATAATTTTCTTCTTAAAGCGAATGGATAATATTTATAATATGAATATTACTTCAGGTACTTTTATACATTAATATCTCAAATTGATAAATTAACAACTCCAATGTATAAAAAAAAACTTGTGACCATGTCACGTTAATGATCCGAGATGCATAATGTTTTTTTTTTGACTATTTATAAAAATTTACCTACATAACATGTGCATTGACAAGTTTTCGTACGACTTGCAAGATTTTTCAATGATGATTTACATACACATAGTAATAGGTTCATATTATAAATTAAACGATTGTTAGTGTGCCGAAAGTGTTACTCTAATATTTAACTCGAATAATACGTGACCAATTATTGCTATGCATAATATAATAAACTCAGAACATGGTTTTTGACAAATGTATGGGAATGTAATGATATTGCTTAAAACGGTTTCTTTACTATATTTATAAAATTATYATTATTATTTATTTTTAAAATTTATATAGAAGAAGAAACTTGAACACATAAAGAATCTAGGACACGTCCAGACGTCCTGCAATCAACGGATGTAACTAAACTGCCATAGAGCATGGAATGTATAATATTTGAAACGTTATTGCAGGTATGAATAATAATTAATATTTAAATTTTAATAGGGTTTATTGATAATGAACTTATATTGTATATTATATTTAAATCGTACTTAAATAATCGTATATAAAACAATACTGCAGAATATTCCCGATTCTTTTTTTTTCAGTCGTTTCATTAGTGCGTAATTTGTATTACTCTAAACTTAAATTATAAAGAAAACAGATACAAATATATTATAATAACATTATATAATACTTAATCATACTATATTTATTAATTTATATCATTACTATAACGATTGGAGTATTTATGAAATGCGGTAATAAAACTGATCGAATCGCGCRGTCAACAAAACTACCGAGGAAGATCGGTAATCGCCGTTTAAATATTATTATGATTATAATGACCCATTAAATATTTTACGGAAGTAAATATTGAACTATTATTGAAGTTTTCCACCCATGGTTAACACTCTGCAGTTTCTACTTAACCATCATGTTTTGTGTTGTAAGATTGATACGTATACATATAGACGGAAATCGAGGTGTTCCTGGGGTACTTAATCCCGCTTAAAACAAATAATAGTTTTAATATTTTCTTATAAGCCAGAAATTTTCAATAAAAAGTAYTATGTCGTGAATAGAATATTTTTTAATGTGGACTAAGAAAAAGTTCGTTATTTTTCATTAAGTTCACGTGTGTGATTGTGAATTTGCTTAATTTTCTGAACATTCAGTGCACTGAAAAAATAATTCGGTGAACCTGACTTTCTATACAGTCTTTTTAATACCTATTTTTAAATGTATATGTATATAAACAACAATGAAGGCCATTTTTTCATGTTTTAAAATCTTAGGTTTTAAAATTGAAAATTGTATTACTTTATTAGGTACAATTTTTAAGTCCAAAACAATTTTTAAATTTTCAAGATTTCGCGGAATACCTATAACAGCTATTAAACAAAAATATCATCATTTGGTAACATCATCTATAACATAGCATTTTAATAAGGTATTTTGAGAGAAGTAAAAAATAATTTCTTCTCAAGTTTTAGAACTCTTTCCCCTCCCCCCATCAAAAAAAGAAAACAATAGTAGCCAATTTCCGCTTATGTGTGTACCTACCTATTCAACGAAAACGGAACAATAAAAAAATAGAATGCTAGGAATAGTATAATAGTATACTAAAGAGTACAAAATATCATACGTAACCAACGGCACACATTCAAAATCGGAATAAAATAATATTTTACCTACTTAACAATATATTAATATTAGTTCAACAAGACGTGCGTCAGTGTGTTACACTTAATACTTATTGTAACTCATCGTATATAATAATTATGTACAACGGAATGAATGTTAAAAACACGTATTAACACGTTGAAACTTACACAAAAAAAAAATTTTAATAGAAAAATAAAATTACAGTGGTGATGTATTTATGCACACGATAGACAACACTGTGTTTGGTATTGACGCAAGTGACACATGTTCATTTGTTTTACGTTCTTGCAGTTGTGTTTGCTGTGATCTTTGCATTCGTCTTCTGCAACAAAAATCGTGTTTAAAATTGTATTATGATTCACAAAACGTAAACAATAACTATATGATGGCCCGCAGATTCATAGCACGTTTTAACAACAATTTTTAATGAGTTTCGACACATTATGTTATACTGTGGGTGAATATTCAAGAGTTGAAAATGACGAACGATTTGGTAACTGTATCTATAAAATTATGAAAATCTGGATAGTTCTGAGTTTTTTGTATAATTTTAACTGATAATTTATCTAAATTGTTCTGAATATTATAAGGTTTCTTTAGAGGAGGTTTTGGACTTAAAAAAAAAAAAAAAAAAATTGGAACACTTTCTGGATTCTGGATATTTAAATTTTTCTGCACACCGCGTTTAATATTAATTTATTAATTTACCAGCTTTAAAGTATTATTAAATTATTAATATTAACAATATATGCATTTATTTTATAAATCACATGTTACGACGATCTAACGTATAGTCAAGTATCATGTCAATTATTACATAATAAATAATAAGCAATAATTATTTTAAGCTCTAAACGCTCGGCAACAATATGAACATATGGCTATCATGGAGGTCGTGGGTTTTTTCCCCATGCGTAGCCCACCCTACGTAACGAGGTTACTACTATTGTCGAAAGTTCTCGTACAGTTATGCGTGTTTTTACTTGTTGCGCACTGCGGTCCGGTGCAAGTCTTCATCACCGGTGGTCTGGGCTGGTCGCGGCAGGCGGTCCCGGCCGGCTTATTGGTGCCGTACCAAACGCACTGCAATATTCGGTACCTCAGCCCATCCTTTTCGCAAGACGCCGTACACTGAAATCGAAAAATGTGAACGTTGTAGTACTTACATGTAATATTATAATGCATATGTATAATAGACGAGAGATGTGAACCTATAGTTATATTTATAATAACATTGATGGCGGAATTCATGCATTTGCAGCATATAATATCGTCATWATAATATTCACTTTGTATTATATTTATATACCTACGAATTGTCTGTGTAATTAGTGCAATATGAGCACGATATAAAATTGGGTTAAGAACAGTAACAACCACAACAAAAAATGTCATGACCGGCATAATTGTGATAATATTAACACATTATTACATTAAGTATAGTATAAGAAAAAAGTGCTGTTTATTCAGAAGTTAGTATACCTACTCCTCTAATAAATGTGTCCTATTTGTTAAATAAATTTAAACAAATACTAATATGAAACCAAAAAAATAAAAATACTGTGATTGTTGTGATCCGTAATGCCCAAATTTGAGCAAAATTCTAAAAAAAATATTCATGAATCCTTGAATAAATTCTAAATTAAGTTTTGGGTATTAACTGTTGTATTGTATGATTAGTTATGTCGTAAACGTTTAGAAACATAAACTTCTTTGTAAACTATATTTAAAAATAATAAAATATACATAATGAGCCAATATAGGTATCACAGGACATTATACATTTTCAAACGAAAAGATTCAGAGGGTGAAATTTGAATTGTTAATGATAGATTAAAAACTTTTGAAATCTGGAGTATAATAATATAATAATAATAACTGCCTGTTAAACGTTATGATTTGTACATAATAATTATTAAAATTATATTGTAAGCGATCTTGYAATTTTTTTTAGAGAAAAAAAATGTCTGGCATTCAGTATCTTCGTTCTGATATTAACGCAGCATTTGATATATTATTGTAATAAATAAAATATTGTGGACAGAAAAATAATAATAACATGTCATATTAAWTGTATAAAATGAATTCATAATAATTTCAATTTTTGGTGCATAAATATTTAATAATAATATACCTCTGTGTGTCGTATCCTTTAAACGTAATTCACCTTGATGATGTAAGTATGTACCTATACAATTTACCGAATTCGAGCAACATTTAGAAATCTGTGTCAAAATATTATTATAATACWACTGCATAGGAAATATTATTATACTATAACGATAGGTAATACATTTAATACAGACGAAGATTGACGTTACTCGTGCGAGTGTTGCCTACGCACGTCAAAAGTTGATTTTATACCTTATTTGTATGTGAGTCGAAATTTCACACACTTATGCGGTGTTTGTAACGTATGCACATGTTATGTGTGCGAGTGAGAAAGAAAGAGTGAGTGAGACAGAGATAATGTGAGTATGTATAACAAAATATGACGTTTTGTAGCATAGTATTATAATGTTTTGTTGTAAAAATAAAAATTTAAGTATCTCACGCACAGTCTGTTCCAGTTGAATAATTGATGCAAATAAAGTTGCTGTTCGTGAAATTTCAAAAACCGAAGATATATCCACAGGAATGCAACTGCAGTATAGGTTAATATTACAGTGATTTGTGGACAAATAGGAGTGAACACGCAAACATACATAAACACACTACACAGCTTCAAAAATGGTTCAGCGCGTTTATCGAACGTTGCGCGACAGTTTCATTTATACGCGGCGTAAATTGAGATAACGCACGCACCCGCTCAATGGGGTATACGATCACAAATAACTTGTAATTGACARTGACGACGACGCGAATCGAAAAACTCGATTTTTATCCCTTCTTTTTTTTCCAGCTATTTTATTTTTGCTTCCTTTTTCACTTTTTTATCTTTGGTTGCATTATTTATCGATGGTACCCGCACACACGTACCTATTACCCACGCTTACACACACATACACATATACACATATACACGCACACACTACAGTCTGTAGACACTTACCTCGGACCATTCGCCCACTTTCCAAGTGCCTTTGCACTGATCGTTGTAGCATTCCTTCCGGTTCACTGGCTTTTCGATCCCGTGGCACGCCTCGTCCGATATAGTGGCTCCATCCGAATTCTGACAGTACACGTTTCGCCTCTGCATCGCTGCGCAAAGTAGAAAAAAAGGGGGTGGCGTGTTTAAAAATTTAAATGAAGTTAAATATTTACAGGGAGATCTATAGGTCGACGAAAAGACTATAATACAGTATATATAGCGTTATATTATGTATATATACGAATATAAATAAAAGCCGAAATTCATTAATTTCAATATTCGATCATTTATTTAAAAATGTTTTATAYAAATCATGACAGTAAAATCTGATTTATCCATAATCAATATTTCTGTTTTTTTTTTTWAATACGTAATTTAAGATTTAAACTTAGTTATAACTACCTATTATATTAAATTTAATGAYACTTTTGTTTATACTTTATTAACATGTATTTATTTTATTTAAAACTTTTACGTTATTTGAACACGGGATCTTCTACTAYTCGCATAGTATTATTTTTAATTGATGTGTRAACCACACATTTTTTCGCTGTACATATTTTTTTTCTGGCAATTGTGTCTCAAAATTTCCCTTCCCCCATAACAATGAAATTTGATAAGAGCTTGACGTGTGGTTGTTTTAGTAATTTAATTTGGAACACAGGATATGGAAATACATTTTAATATATATTTTTTGTAGTACGTAAAATACAAATAGTTAAGTTCTGAGTTCATGTTAAATTCATGTAAAATACATAATCCAGTGTTTAATTTTTRATTATTACCTATATTACAAAATCATATTATAATTYTATGTTATGGATCAGTCAGCATCAGTATTCTGCAGCTTATGCTATCATGATTTTCTTTCTAGGTTCTACAAATTATAGTCATTATTAGAATGTAATTATGATTTTTAGTGAGTATAATCAATAACAATATATCTATGTATATTTTTGTATTTAATCCATTATTATCATTATTATTATATCCATCACTATATTACCATCAATGAAAAAARGCATTCATTGACTAGTGATTAGCAACATCTTGTTTGATAATAAATGAATATTTTTTCATAAAATTAGATGACTAGTATTAATACCTGATTATAATTTCTGTATTTACGAGCTGTAATCTTCATACAATATTATAATATTATTTTACCTTAGAATTCTTAAATTCTTTATGTTTTAAATATTTTATACCAATTAAGTTAAAATGTTTCCATAATTCCGTTCTTATTTTGTATAATTAATATTTTTTTCATAAAATGATTAACTCATTTTTTGACGTCCATTTTTATCAGGTAATTAAATTATCATATTTATTTATTTATGTCAACGTTATTGCCAAAATACTATTGAACATTCGAACTAAATTTAACTTACTTAGTTTTATTAGTGTAGTGTTATTGTAACGTTAACAATGCCTAGAAACTTAGTTAGGACCAATATTCATAAAATTTAGTCGTTGCATACCTACTTGTATTTGTATATAATTCTAACAATGTCTTTAAGCATTTTTCAATGTTAGATAACAAAATATATTTTAATTGTATAATTTCCAAATTTTCTAGTTTATGTCATTATTTATTAAAACGGCTATTCAGTACTTGAATTTTATCATAGWTGGTAATAAAATATTATATATAATATGTATTTTAATAAAAAAACTCTGGATAATATACCGTTTCTACATCTCCGTCCCACAAACAGACAAAAATGTTTTTTTTTTGAGAAAATTAAAATTAAAATTTATAATTCCATAGAAATAATGTGGAAATATATGATTAGAGAAAGGGAAGTGTGCAGTAATGCATGCTTTTTTCTACATTTCAAACAAATATGCTGCCTATGATATTATAATAGGTACTATGATATTATAAGTTTACTCTCGCACCAGTATTCCAGGTGAAGCATTTGGACTCCTCACACGGTTTCCATTCGGTCACCGACCACTGCGGACAATCATCCGTTTCGCACTTTTGTATGGTGACGGGCGTCGGTAACCGGGCGTCCTCGCACAAGTTGTTGTCCACGCTTTGTGTCATGTTGTTCAGTTTGACCATGCAGTGAGCTGCTCTCATCTGCTAGAAGACAAATATTTATATGAGACAACAGGGACAATGTATGTTTAAAATTTACATCACCGAGAGGCGTAGTAGTTCGCCACCAACGAAATAAATTATAAATATACCTGAGCCATTGCAACAATTATAGAAGACAAAATCGTACCTGAAAACCATTTCCCCCGCAAGGCGGAGAGCAGTCTGACCATTCCGTGATGACCCATTCGAATTTCACGCTTTTCCGGTCACCTACATCGAGAAACAGCTTGTGTTTAATTATTCTTTTAATTAATTACAATATTAATATCATGATACTATTATTATTAAAATAATTATAAACATCCCTATGTATTGTATAGCTAGCTTATTATAGGTACCTTTGCCGAGCAAAACGGGTTTGCCGAACGTGTCCTCCTCGGTGCTGGTTTCGATTTCTGGCACTGGGTTCGCCGGTTCTTCCATGAACATTCTATTCACCTTTGCGTTGCTCACACCCTGAAATGGCCACAGAGCCTACTCATTTTATTAGTATGAATGAATGTCAAGATGTTTTGCCAATGGAAAATGAAACAAAACTTTCCCCAGGCTCATATATTTACGTGTAACGGCACAACTCAAACAAAATAACGTGATGTTTATGGTAATCGAATGTGCATGGGTGCATTAAAATTAGATATATAAGTACAGGGTTCAAATAAACAAAATCAAATACGTACTTATATTATATACATGCAAGGATTTAATAATGAGATAATAATAATAATAGGCAAAAAATGGTGAATGTATGTAGGGTTGGCTAAACCGTATATATCATTATAATATTCGAATTATATAATAATAATGTGTATTATACTAATGTAATGTGTATGCATGTGTGTATGTGTGTGTGTGTGTATGTGTTTTTAGGTAAGTGATTAATAAAAATAAAAATAAAATACTATTATATATAATTTAAGTCAACGGAATGTGCAACAAAGTGTAATAATAATATATATGTATATATTGTATATATTATATTAATAGACGTAAGGGAGCTAATCATCTACGACGAAAACCCAGGAATTCAGTTTTATTTTCCTTTATCTCACCTTGAGGTTAAAAAGAAGACTGTGAAGGTGAGGCAAGTTTCGTGAACTTCCGGAAGTGGTGGGTTTTGGGGAGACGTCTATAGCATTTTTCTCTGTTTCCTGTTTACAGACACAAAGAAACGTTGTAATGTACCAACTATACTTTTTTTTTTTTAAGCCATATACAATATCTAACACAATATGTATATGTATAAGACTCGTGTGTATGCGCCAATGACGTTGTTCTTAAACGATAATATAATCAATTTTGGAGAAAAACAGGTCAGGTTGTATCAGATAGTATATAATAAAAAAAAAAATGAAAAGTTAAAAAAAAATTAAGTTAAATGGAAAAAAAGTCAAAATCAAGAAGATACTTGCCACTACATGCTTTTCGGAAGATGCCGTGCTCGTTACGGTTGACTGAATGGTGGTACTTTTCTGTCGTGACTGTTTGTGTTTCTGTTCGCGATTGTGTTCGCCTTTGATGCGTTCGTGGCTGATGTCGAATGATGGTTCCATCCCTTGTGGATTCGCGTATGAAGGATTCATACCTTTAGACGAATATATCATTACGCATAAATAAATGATTACAATAATAATAAATTAACATCATATATATTATGCAAAACAACAGTGATGTGATTAAGTGACTAAAAATGCGTTTCGAGAAGATGCTGACGATTGGTTGGGGTTGGATTCTGAATGATATAATCATGTGATGTTCTGTGTGATATAATTTATAGTTAGGTACATGTATTGATAATTTACCCTTAAAGTCAATAGTCTAATTTTTCCGTTGCTTTTACTATTAAAACCACGTATTGCTCTAAAAGTACACCTCTATTGGTCGAAAATTTAGAAATAACATTTTTAAATTTAAGTTTATATTTCGTATTAAGTTTAAATAGAAAATGATACTATATAAACTCAACAAACTTCGCTATCTGAAAAATAATACACCATACTTGTCGAAACCAATATTTATATTTATATTTCCTAATTCCTGTAACTATAATATATTTAGGAACAGTCCAATAGAACATGATATTATTCAAATAAATAATGTCTACAAACTGCAAGTAGTGTCAGTACATAAATTGTACCTGGGTCTTGTTGGTTCAAAGGCTTGTCGATTTCTTCGGAACTCGGAAATTCTCCTGGTTGGGGTTTGATGTTAATGTTCATTGTCGCTTGGGCGTTACCAGCTATAAAATAATAAAAGTTTGTTTACATTAGATACCTACAGGGAATATACCGAGTGTTTAGTCTATCGAAAACCGCATAATATTAATTAAACATTTTTTTTACATATATTTAAGAACTATATAATGTAACTTAATATTTTGTATTTGTATACATGATTACGTATTAGTACTTGTTTTTTAACGTGAAAGCATTAATGTAGTCAAATTCTTTATACTTTTTAAGACATAGTTTGATGCATTGGTTCATATAATAAAGGATCACTATATATATATACATTTGTTTGATACGATAATACAAATATAGTAGTATAAAGCTACACAATTTATAACATAACATTTTACTGTTAAATTTCTATATGTAACATACCTTTACACGTATAGGTGCCTCGGTCCGAGTACGTGGTGGCCCGGATCTTGAGGATGCCTTTTTTCGATATCCGGACCTTCTTGCCATTTTGCAACGGCTGACCGTCTTTTGACCACTGTATTTTTCCCCTGTAACCCATTAATATTGGTCATTATATACACTATAATATAAAAATGGTAATAATATTATTGTTAACTAAATACAAGTTAAACAAAATTCGCCGTTCACATTTGACTGTTAAACACACAAAATATATACAATATAATATGCAATATATGTACCAATGTATAATTATGCATAAAGATAATACATAATAATATATTAATATATAATAGTATTATAATCATAATCATATATCAATTAATAAAAAATTCAGATATTATCAATCAAAAGAGTTAAAATAAAATTTTAAATATAAAAGTAAAAGCTTTAACGTATATATCAGTATACGTTCTACATAGTTGTGGAAAAAACAAAACATAGAATAAAGGTTATTTTCTACGAGTAAAGAAGTACAATGCAATATTTAAATTAAAAATTAAAGTGAAACGAGCTAGTTAGTTATCCTTATCACTCATCATAATATATTACACAGTAAACGGGGTAAACCATCATGAAATGGGTTTGAGAAATAAATGCGATTTGAAGTTTTTAATTGGGAAAAACTAAAATTATTTAAAACGCAATACAAATAAATATTCTCTGACCTTTGTTAAAAAAATGTCACATTCAATATCACACACGTAAAAATTAGCCATTATGAATGGTTAAATTATAGAATAAATAATAAATTGTGTGGATGACTGACTGTCGATCAAATTCAGTAATATGCGCCATGCAGTCCCTATATATTATTTAGTAATAAGAGTGCTTTTAGCTCGTCAATGATTGATGTGCCACGTGGAAAAAGGTAGGATAAGCAATTTTCTAGAAAATTCTTAGAAACAATAAAATAATCTCGTTAGTATAATGTCAATATAAATGACGAACTAAAAATAAATATATAAGAMTATAATCTTTAAATAGTAATAGGTATCAGTCGAGAGAATATAAAAACCACAATGAAAAAAAGATTTCTGATCCGTTTTAAAAACGGAATTTGTTGTATAAAAATACATACGATATGATATAAAGCTATTATTTTAATCAATAACATTTTTAACATATTTTTCGTTATAATAAATTGTGATTGGGATTGGAGGGGGTGATTTTGACTCTTTTTCGAGGACTAAAATTGCATTTGTGACTTAAAGACGATAAGACGAATATTATATAAATGAAAACGAGTAGAGGTATCCAATATCTATATGATACATAAAGATATTATAAAATATATTTTTCAGCTAAAAATGATCATGCATAAGAAAATTCTKAAAATTCTGACATAATTWAAAATATTTAATACTAAAGTGCTGAACAATGCTTAAAATCTTTCAATAAATATATCAATAGCTATATTAGTGTAGCAGAATTGAAATGATCAGTTTTATCCTAAAAACGTCTAAGCCATTAAAATGTCATTTTTTGTGTTAGAAAAGCATTATATCATTTTAATAAAAAAATCTGTAAAATATAAATATCGTTCATGCTTTATAGGATGCAAATGCTGCCTTTAAAGCCCACAAATGACACTCCTGCTCGCAGGATATATGTATAATGTATATGTCTAAAAAAATCTTAATTTGCTCAGTTATCTGAATTCTATTAAGCGTATTAGATTAAAATTTTATCTCATCCATACAGATTGGGTATATATACGTTGATCGAGCGAATTTACAAAAAATGTCTTAACGTCATCTACAAACAAAATAAACTCGCATTTACCCAACAACCCATGTSTACGGCGGTCACGTTTCGTTATATGCATCGCGTTCATATAATAACCATGGTCGAAAACAAAAAARATGTGATAGATATATTATTATATCCTTTATATTATAACACGAAACCCCAGAGGGCTGTACCAAGTGCACTTCAGATCTAAAACGTCGTGTAATTCACACCCGCTGCATATCTGTAGATCTTATAATATTATAGTGTGACGTCATTGATCATTATTATTTAATACTTGGTGATACTATTATAATATATGCGTATAGTAATACTCAATACTGTTATATCATTATAGTTAAATGCGCACACGGTAGTGGCAGGTCAGACTTCTGCTTTCTATGCTAGATCTCCGGACAAAGTATTTTCTATTTTATAGAAATATTTTAAATATTCTATCAACAAATTAATATAATATCGTATCACTTTATATAAACGCATCATGTTGCAAATCATAAGACAGCTTTAGGTACTGGTCAGTGGCGTGACTGAAAATTTTCAATCGCCTGGGGAGGGGGAGGGATAAAACTCCTACCATCTCCTATTTAGGATGCTACGGACAGTGGTTATTGAWTTGTTCTGTTCCAATGCCGACTGAGCATACCCATAGATTATTAAATATGTTTATTGAACAAGATCAATATTATAAATTGATGATGGCGGAGACATTGAAATTTTTAAAACATAAAACCACTCCATCACAAAAGGCGAATGGAACTTAAATCAAATAAATWTTTTTGGAAGTAAATATTAAGCATTTCTAGAGGCATTGATTTTTTGTTATCACTTAAGTTGAAATTTAAAATGTATTTGTTCATAATATTATGTTATTTAATGATATTATTATTAAATAGTAAACACCTATATATTATAATAATGTTATAATACATATCTCGGCATCTTACACGTCCATATTTTTATGAGAKGATTAATTTCAAACATCAATGCCTCGCCTTAAGTTTCTGAATATAATTAKGGAAGGAGGTGGTCAAACTTCTAATTAAGTTAGGTTTTAAAGGCATTGCCTTCCCAGATAAGATAAGTGGAGTACTTGCGCACACTTATGATATTAAAGATACCTCTTGTTAACGGGACACCGCATCTTCATTTCCACCCCTCTGTACACCGTCGCCTCACCCCCGACTTTGAGCATGACGTCCTCCTCGGTGGTGGCCTGTTCGTATTTCTGGGCTACATCTGACACCATGACCGCTTCCTGCGAACTGCAAGCGTTCGGGTTGCACAGTCTGCTGTCGAGYGGTTTGTCGGTGCCACAATCTGTGTCTGGCCGATTTATGATGTGTCCATGGGCAATCCTCTGCACGCACTCCACTACTCTGGTTTTGACTCCACCGTTACACTTTTTACTACACTATAAAAAATAAAGAACAAATATGTCACGATTATTCATTGAATGATATACACAAAGTTAGTTACATCCAAAAATTATAGCGATACAATCAAATGTGCGTAGGAAACTTAGAAAAATACGTTTTTCAAAATATATGAAATTCTTTATTGTTCTATTATTTAGTCACTTCTAGTGTATCAAGAAATTTATCACAATCACATGTTTTTAAACAACATTTCTAAGTTTTCTATTATAACTGCTAAGAAAATATATCATATTATAAAATCGATTGTGTTACGTTCATGTGACCACGATAAACTTAACAAAAATCGACATATAATGGACTATACCTAGCTACTGCTTGTACTATACATAAAATATAAATGAGTAAAAGCCAACGATTTTAGTGTTTGCTTTGAAATATGTATTTAAAAAAATTATATATGCTAAATATATAATTATTATTTAAAAAAAAATATATATAAAATATATTTTACAGCCAATTTGAAATATTAAAATATATTTCAAAATAACTACTTTTAATTTTAAATATAAGACCCGTCATCAAATCGGTTATACGAACGTACCTTTGACCATTCAGAAGTTCTCCATTCCGTGGGGCAGTCGATCATGTTGCATTGCTTCCGGTCCGTGGGCGGTGGTTGTGGACACATGTTGTTCGGCACGATAGCTGTGTTCCCTTCGGTCACTTCGTGTATGCAGTTGACTTCGCGCATCTGAAGCCCRATTCCGCAGCTCTGCGAACACGGCTGGAAGTCACTAACGTTCCAYCGGGGTGGGCAAGGTTGGTCGTTACACGTCTGCGTCAGTACTTCGGGCTGATCGTTTCGGGAACACAAGTACGGGGAGACAATTTTCTTGTCTTCTTCGCGTACGCACAGCACCAACGATTCTTGTACACCTATACAGATGGACACCAAAACAAAACTAACAATAATCGTTTATAAAAAGTTTCAGTATGATGATTGATAATATTATATTATCTTCGTCTATATTATTATTATCAATTGTTATCGTCTAAAAAAATAAAAATAAAACTGTACACAATTCGAAGCCTCAAGTTTTCACTACTATAAAACACAATTATAATACGATTTACAAYTCCTTTTTGACCTTTGGTCTGCACTATAATATTATAATATAAATTAAACTACCTAATTCAAATGTTATTATGAAATCGCGTTTTACGCAGACGTWGGTTTATTATAGCTGAAGCACAGCGTTTAACTATGAATACACAAACATAATATTATTTATAACTCGAAAACGCTTACATATTAATGTACAGATGACGTACAACAATTTTTACAATATTAAAACAATTGTAATAATATTGAAAACATCAAAATATTGTTATTGTAATTGATGTTATTTTTCACTATCAAAACCAGCAATYAATCGCTTATCGTAATCATATATGGCCAGGCAATACAAATCTAACCTCCAAGACAAGAAGCACTGCAATGCGTAAAGCCTTCTCTTTTCCAAGAGTATGTTTTACCAAACGAACCGGGGGCGACTTTCGGTGGATTAAAATCATCGGAGCTGGCGTCTGCGTAACCATCCCTGATGGACCTCTCATTTTGATCAAATCTGAAATCACGGATACAATATTATTAGTCAGTGGTCACGATGAGACGTCATATTAATAATACGATGATATCGTATAGTTTAAAATAATATATATATATATCGTACATTTTGTTCAACGAACAGGGCACCGAGAAACATTTTTCAACCTCTGGTGGTTTGGGACCGACGCACGCGTCATCTGTTAACTTCGTCATGATCTGAGTGTAATCTAAATGAGCTTTGCAGTACACTTTTCTCGTCCTGATACCATCACCGCACGTGACGCTGCATGGGCTCCAATTGTCGGAAACGAACCTAAACATATTATCAGGTTAATAAATCGTCGTGCGTGCAAATGTGGGCGCTAAAAGTTTACAGTGTGTGTGGGGAAGGTTTTTGTTGGCCGATCAATCGTTGAGCGTGGGCTTGTGAAAAACTCGATTTGGACGACGCTTGGAAATCCGAGTCTGAGTCGAAATTTTCGCCTGTAAAATCAAACATGACGTTAAGTAACAATAGCAAGTAAAATAAACAACTGAAAACATGATACTTTGATTTATTATGTTGGTCTAGAAGAGTATTATATATTTTATTTTTGACGATTATTTTTGAAAATAATATAAAATTTTATATTTTATAAAACAGTTTTTAGTATTWTACCGGACAATATTTTTCTATTGCACTGTTTCGTCGAATTTCATAAACAAAAAACAATTAATACTAGTTTTCGTTTATTGAGAAGATGATACAATTTTATGGTATACAAATATATTATTATTATATATCACTGGAATATTACAAATTTCGTTTATACAATATAATTATTTTCCTTGTACAATAATAATATAAGCAWTATGAGAATTTTAAATCGTTAACGAATTTTAATTTATTATAATGAACATTGCTCAAAATATTTTAAAGTTATAGTTATACATCACATTTACACAGTGCATTGGTCATTGTGCAATTGGCAAACATTTTAATTAAGCCACTTAGCTTCGCAATTAAAAAATGTAAAGGTAACATTCTGAGTGAATGTTTAGCTATAAAACTTAAAAATACTTATTTTTGTATAAGTAGACTTACCATATTTTTAAAATGTGAATAATTTATWACGGAAATTGAATCATTTGAGACATATGATGAAATTAGTTAACCATTTTACAACTTTCGTTCAAAATATCATAGTTTAGATGTTCAATATATAATTAATAATTATTATTAGGGATAGTATACATCATATAAACATTGTATACAACACATCAACGTGGTGAATACTGTTGTGTTAGAAAATTATCTACGAAGCTTTCAACACACTAATAAAATAAATTATAGATGAATAAGGTCTTGGAGTCGGGGGACTGCACAAAAAGATGTTCAAAAAATACATGTGAATTTGCAATTAAATTTACCAAAATTATAGAGAAAACCCAATTAAAAATTATTTAAAATATGCATTATCTATGTTATTAATAACTGTTAAAATTTTTTCAAATATATACTATTAGTTTTTAAATTTAAATTATACAAGAAATAATATAAAAAGTCAAACTTTGTATTTAAATTTAAAAAAACAAATGTATATATAATTTTAAGTATTCCATAACCTTAAAAAAAAAAAAAAAACCAACATACGAATGCAAGAAGCCTTGAATCTTATTGATAAACATGCTATTATATACAGCACTCAACTATAAACATTTACATTAATTATAAGACATATTTGCAGTATTGATCAATGGAATGACGACGCGACATACACCATATACGTAACCTAATAGTTTATTGTTACGTTACCTAACCCTTAGAGTGAYATGTATATTAAAATATATTATATTCTACGAAAATTTAAATAATAAGTTCTCAGCCCTGTCATGTACTCGACCAACTTTACGCCTTCTGCGGAAGTGCATCTGTACGACTTGGTTTACAGCTAGGATATTATATACATTATCCACATATTATAATTTATAAGTTTATAACATATATTATTTTATATATATAATATACGAAATACTTATGTTGTTATAAAATATATAGCCTTGATCGAGTATTTCGACGAAAAGAAAAACAAATTATGGGATTCGGGATTGTTTGACCAGAGTGAAGATTGAACGCGTATAAAAGTGTTATTTTTACTACAAACGAATGGAACGGCTCAATAAAAACGATATGGGGAATGATTCGATTAGCCTTYGAGCAAATTTCACGACTGTTATGRCCAGTCAAGCTTAACTTCCACAGTTCCACGGGCGTTATAACACTTATACTTTTTTTAAGGCCTGAGTGCGAAGGCGGAAAGGGTTTATGCGCGTCGAGCCRAGCGGGTTTATATCGTTATCGACCGCTATACAACTAGCAGTATGAAAAAATGTAATTTAAAATCGCCGTTTTAGTATCGCCGCCGTGGTTTTGTAATCGAAAATAAAACGGACTTTACCCGATCTCCGTGTTTTATGATTATATTAATTCACGTCGAAGGTCTCTTCGGGCCGGGCCGTACACACAATATTATATACATCACACATTGTGTGTGAGGCTTGGGCGATGCTATTCCAACCGTTCAATAATAAATTCGTTTGGGTATATTGATGAGATTTTTCCTACGACAAATCGAAGCCCACCGCAACGATGGCGACACATTGAATTTTTCATTTTTTGATATGCACCATATAACCTTGCCAGTCCAGCTGTCAGCATACATACGTCGCGAGACTTTCAAAATGAAAAGTATCGCTCCCGTGGGGCGCATTCCCCTCAAAACAAACACAGAACACGCACACGTGAATGCTACCGATCGTGTATATATATTATATATATATATATAACGTCAACGACGAGTGAATTTATCTTCGACCATTATTCGACCACTTGTCACAAGTCCTCCGCGCCATCCATGGTAGGAAAAAATACCTCGCCGTATGTGTATACATAGAAACGAACGTATAGTATTATGTTCTCGTGCTTATTGCGACTTTATAAAATATTATTGTGTCTATAGTAGGTAAGTTGTATAGTGTACATCACGTTTCTTGAGCCATTGGGCCATGTGGTTAGACGTCGATATAAATATTTCAWATGCATAGATTATTTTGATCACGTGGTTATCGGACATATTATGGTTACAGAGTTCTCATATTTATATTGATACGGAAGGATGCATGGTGCTACACTACTGTAGCGACAATCACGTAATAGTGAGGGAAATTCGGGGACCAACTTTTTTTGTATGAATCGGAGACAAAAGTTGATCTTATCAATTTTTTTCTTTATTTTGGGCTGTGCCTAGACTCATGATGCTTACGAAAACCAATGACTAACCATATTGAAACACTTATATATAGAAAAAATTCTTCATGTCATTGACAGAGAATATTTTAAGTTATTTGGCTGTAGCCCTGGAAGCCACGTGTTCTCTGCTAGAGAAACATATAGGTATAGATGAAACCAACCTTTCAGTCTCAACGATTTTTTTCACTGGGTGACATTCGTACCACGTACTATTAGTACGTTAAGATATTCTACTGTTGTCATTGATAAATTTTACCTTATAGAGATATATTGGTAAATGGTTGTCAATTTCGTAGCCAAATTGATGCTTATCGTCGTAACCAAGACGGACATATTATGCCTGATGTTATTTACCATACATAAATGGGAGGGTATATTTTACGTTTAYATACAATTTGTTATGCTTAAATCAAGTTTTTCGCAATAGAGTTTTAACAAAATTAAATCCGTCTTTCTTAATAAAACTGCACTCAGTGTAGTGGGCATAGCATTGATGAGCCATGCGTTAGCCTTGGGTGTTAAACCCTTTTTCCACCATAAACATTAGTAATGTTTAAACACCTAGTAAAATTATAATGTTTATCCTCAAATCCTAACATTGCCCCCCCCCCCTCTAGAAAAATTTCTACGGGCGCCTATGAACATTGCCCAATAAATGTATTATTTATAAACGATGTAATGATATCTACATCATTGCGCCCACACAGCTTCATGATTTAATATCATCATATTATACTATTAAAACATAATAAATATCTGTATCCATGTACCCTGATTTTATTCAAAATGTACAAGAAACTATTAATAAGTAATAACTGTGTATACATATATATCCATGTATAAATGTCATTAATGTTATAAAAACATTTCTTGATTATATTCATGTATATATGCAAAATAAACAAAAACAATTTAATATCGAACAACAAGACATAAAGGTCAATACTCAATATTATAAGTAGAACCCCTATTTCGATGATCAGATCAGTCTGTTCATACTAGCCAAAAACGTCACACACACCTTCTTATTTCGCTACTAAAAAATTATATAGCAATTATTAACTTAGCTTATTCATTTAAAAATACATCTTATACTTGTTGTGAAGTATTAAAACGATTTTCTTTTAAAGTGAATTTGTGTTCATATTATTTCCATTCTAAATAACATCATTATTCAGATCAAACAACGTTAACCAGGTAAAAGATAATACTAACATTTTTATATATTCACAAAAAATCAACAATAAAACTTACATCATCAACAAATTAATAAAGACACGTGGACTCAGGTGTATCATTAACTAAACATAAATTACTTTTATAAATCCAWACTCACGGTTCCAAACAATCGTAATAAATATATGCTTTAATTAATAATAAAAAAAAGGATAAGGAAAGTCGACGTCCAAAAACTTTTTAATTATTATCAATTAAAATAGCTAACTATAACACTCCAGTTAATATATTATTATTAGGTGAGGAATTATCTATACAAACGTACACAGGAGTATTTTTAATTATTCATCACAACGAAAACTGTAATAAAAAACTTGGTTGAATTTATATTATTCCCTCTACCTATTTCATAATCCTAGGTACGCCTCTGAGTATAGGTATTTTAACATAAAGGTATCATGAAATGTGATATAATATATTTTATTTTACTGGACTTACTATAACATGGCAACTTAGTCGAACAAGTCTTGGTCCGCCTGGGTTCTGTCATCGGATCGCAAGTCAGGTACTTTTGTTTCGATTTGCAAGTAACGTTCCTGATCTGCATTCCGTCGCCACAAGTCGCCGAACACTGCAATAAATTGAACGGCACATGAACACGGTGATTAGCTATACATACGATTTCGATATAACGATTTCAGACATTAGCCAACTGCCTRCACAACTGTATAATTTTTTTCGTGGACATAATAATATTATGTTTGCATTAAAATGTATAAGCCAACRTGGATAAACYGGACCTGGATGAACCGATATATTCGGAATTTAAATTRTAGACAACGTCTCTCAACGAACACCTTCGAATTGCTTTAGATACATCATATCAGAAAATATTATAGATTTCTTTTAAACTCTAAACGGCTAAACATGCTTATACCAATCAAGAATAGGTACATGAGAAATAATATTGATAAAACTACATCGTATTATTATTATTATAATATTACAATTTTTTGCGGTTGTGTATTACAAAATATGGACAATACAATTTATAATACAGGTATGATATTGGATGCCATTGAAGTGCCTTCATACTGTGCGGGAGATTCGAATTGTCTCCGAAAACGACCAGATGCATTACTTGGAAACCAATTGCGATTTGTAACTTTGTAAGGCATCACTTTCAACAGTGATAATACTATAATAGTGAGTAGTGACTTAATAGTTAATTTTTTGATATCATGTWATACTCACTTTGGACCATTCACCTGTTGACCAGTCGGAATAACACGGTTGGATGTTGCACTGTTCCTGAGTTTTTGGTTTATGCCCGTGACACATGTGATGCCATACCTATAACACACGATAAAATTATGTCAGGTTATAAAATATTATAAAGATACATAATATTATAACTGAATTACTGAACTGAATCAAATAATATTATTTGTTAACACGAGTACAAGACGCATTTCGAATAAGTAATATGAATATATGATAGATACCATAAATAAGGAGTAATTATGTATTATATTTATATAGCTGTTGGGAAAATCGAAAATTAGTAATATTAAAAGTTATGAGGTATATTGACGATAATGGAGGTATTAATATATTTTTTGATT